ATCGACGTTGTAGGTATATATTGTTGCTTTGTTTTGCATGTTCTTGAGAAGAGAGAAGATAGACTGGATTTGGGATATCAGGTGGTGGGGTGTACCCTTATGGAAGCTTCATGTAAACTTATTCATAGAGATCTCCATGAAGAAATGCATTGTTCATATCAAGTTGTTGAACAATCCAATTCTTAGCTACTGCAATGGCCAAGAAGAGTCTCACTATTGTCATTTTTATGACACAGGGGCAAAGGTATCCTGGTAATCAATTTACCTACTGGTGCTAAAGTTGATGATACACATATTGGTCGTGTTACATCAGTTGTAGACCTCACACTTGAAGCAGTCATTTTTGTCCCTCAATTCACATTCAACCTCATATTAATCAGCCAGTTAACCACAAACAAATCTTTGTGCTACTTTCTTTTCAGGAGAGTGACTGGTTCTGCTGATTAATATGAGGCTTTGACTTATGACATTTTAGACTAGGCCATGTCTCTCATTTTAAGATTCCAAAGTTGAAACATATATGTAACTCCATAGATACAAACAACTCTATACCTTGTGATGTCTGGCACTTTGCTAAGCAAAGGAGGCTTCCTTTCCCAGACAGTACAACTGTTTCTTCTCAACCTTTTACCCTAATACATGTTGACATTTGGGGACCAAACTCTTCTCCTACTTTTGATGGTTATAAATATTTTTTGACCATAGTAGATGACTTTAGTAGAATGACCTGGATTGTTTTACTTCATTAAAAATCAGAAGCAGGTCCTAAACTACAGGAATTCTGCCTACTTGCTGAAAAACAGTTTTATCACTCTATCAAAAAGATTAGGAGTGATTAGGGTAAAGAGCTCCTTATGCCAAATTTCTTTGCTTCCACTAGCATCTTTCATGAGATGTCATAACTTGAAACCCCACAACAAAATAATAAGGTAAAACGAAAACATCAACATATATTGGCAATTGCTAGAGCTCTCAAGTTTCAGTCAAACTTACCTATGGGATTTTGGGGTGAGTGTGTTCGGCATGCTGTGTTTTTAATCAATAGAGTCACCACAACAGTTCTAGGATACATCACATCCTACCAGCAACTCCATCAAAAACCACATGATTTAACAGACTTAAAAGTCTTAGGGTGTCTTTGTTTTGCTTAAACCTTAAGCAACCACAAAACCAAGTTCCAGTCCAGAGCCAGAAAAGGGATGTTTCTTGACTATCCCAGTGGCATCAAGGGTTACAAGATCTATGATCTTCAAACTCATGAAATCTTCATTTCAAGAGATGTCCTCTTCTATGAGGATCAATTTCCCTTCCATCACTTACAGCAGGACACAGATATCTCTGACAATCCTCTATACGCAACTCTCGCTTTTCTTGATGACTTTGAACCTAATCACCCTCCATCCATCCCACCAGAACACCACTCTCCGGAACCTACCAACCATACTCAGTCTCAATCTTCAACCCCACATCCTCCATCCGTTGATTCCAATCTCCCCATTCCAATTAGAAAACCACACATACAACCCAAACAACATGCTAGACTCCAACCATACCATTGCAACCTGCTCTAGCAGTTTTCTTCAACTGGTCACTCTACTGAGTCTTCACATTCAGGTAATTTCTGCTATTACATAACAACACCATTTTATTGTTAATGGTGCTTTGAATAAAGTTGATTCCCTTCAATAAAACTATTAATAGGTCTATGCTTGAACATTAATAATAGTACATTAGAATATTAATAGGAAGCAACAAACATTAACAGTCTCAACTCTGATGGGTTCCACTTTAAGTAATGATATGTTGCATAGTTTAATAATAGTATATGAAAATATAAATAGGAGGCTTAATGATATGTTGCATAGTTTAATTAGGGCAAAATTTAGCTGCTACCCAGTTTGCAGCGTCTGGCTCCTACTCGCCCAGGTGGCTCCAAGTAATTGGCTCAAAATTATATTTTTTTAAGTTTTAATTATTAACTGAAATGAGAAGAAGTGGGAAAAGCACGGATACAAGTTACCGTTACCCCTTTTTCCAATGGGAAGGAATAGACAATAATTTTTAATTGGGTATTGTATGGTTGGTCACTGAGATTACAAAAAATGTTCATGTTTGGTCACTGAAAATATTTAAATTTAATGTTGGTCACTCAAATTAGTTAAATAGTTTGAGTGGGTCACTCTCCGTCCATTTCCGTTAACTCTAGCTTGCGTGGCAATCAACTTTCATAGTTGACTGTTAAATACGTGAAGTTATGAATTTTTACTGGAAAAGTGAAGTAATAAAGAGCTAAATCTAAAAGTGAAGTAATTACCGTAAAAAATAGTGAAGTGAAAAATTAAGCCAAACTATATTACATATTTGATGCCTGCTCATTAAAGTTAATACCAATTGAAAAAGTCCTATAAAAAAACAATTGAAAAAGGAGAAGGAATTAACGGAATGTGTATGTATCCGTCTCCTCTCCGCCCCCTTGTAATCTAGCGTTTTGCTTAGCAATTAAAACTTAAAAAAATATAATTTTGAGCCAATTACTTGGAGCCACCTGGGCGGGTAGCAGCTAAATTTTGCCCGTTTAATAATAGTATATGAAAATATAAATAGGAGGCTTAAAAATGCTAATCGTGTAAAATGACTAAAATCGGATGGTCGTTAAGCTAATGTTTGACAAAGCTGATGACATTCTATAACATTATTAATAGGGTCGCAGCCTGCAAGCTTGAAAATTAATAATAGTATTATACGAAAATATTAATTAAAGGATTATTTTTTTAATAATCTGAAACTTGGTAATCGTGAGACATTGTTATGGAAACTTTGCATAATGTTTACGATATTTAGTGAAATTGGTAAGTGGGTTTCGCTCATAGGTTAGTAATAATATATTAAATATTAATAGGAGGCTTAAAAATGCTAATAGTGTAAAATATGATGGTCGTTAAACTAATTAATTGTTGGTATGTTGGATAAAGTTGATGACTGTTAAGGCACATGTTTTCAGTTGGTCGGAGTCCTAATATTTTAAGCTTTGACATCCACATTATAGTTATTTTAATAATGATTGGGTGTTACGTTGATAATGATAGTAAAAATTATTTATAATGACATTCTGGAGTGTTATTTTTAACCTTACTTTTTAATAATTACTTTAAGAAGGAAACAGGAGCGAGACGAATCAGTTATATATCTTGATCATTCAAGAGCATATCATACAGGGTCAGTAACGGGTCAGAGTCAGGTCAACCTGCTTAATCCAACATGCATAGTTAGCCTCATTAAATAGAGGCTCAAAGGCATGGCGATGGTGATATGTATAAATAGATGTATATAGGGGTGGAAGTTTGATTTTTGGGTTTCGGGTAATCCACAAAACGCACCATATCACACACTTTGTGGATAATCATACCCACAGTTTGTGGATAGTGGGTTGGGTGTAGATAACAAAATATTGATTTTTGTGGTCGACGATTAACCACTACCCACAATGGGTAACCCACAATAACCACACTAATTGTATTTATGTATTTTTTTTGAAAGGAATTGTATTTATGTATTAATCATACTTTATAATATCATATATTGGAAAAGAAGAAGGCTAAAAATTAAAGTAGCCATTAAAATCAAATACACACTTATTTTATAAAACAAAATCAAGTCAATACGCAATGTCCATCTAGGATACATTTATCAAAATCAAATAAGCTATGTCCATATATAATATTTTTATTTTATAAAACAAAAGCAAATCAATAAAAGTAGTCGGTTAAATTAATCGATTCAAAACCAAGGGGGAACAACCGATTTATAGTTTATTTAACATTTAAGTATATTTATTTTTTGTATATTTTTGTTTTTTTTTTTTTTGTGTGAGATGAAACACAACATCAATATTAATTTTTATATTACAATAATCAATAATTAAGTTTTTATTGGTATTCGAAAAAAGCTAATTCTGAATTTATAGGTGTGGTTAATCACAAAATGTGGTAGATGTATACATTCATAATGAGAACTAGGTTTTATTGCCTGCGCTTTGCGCCAGGATTGGTGAATAAAATTGGGTTAATTGCATGGTTGGTCACTAAAATTACAAAAAACGTTCAAGTTTGGTCACTCGAAATATTTAAATCCAATGGTGGTACTTCAGTTTACTAAAACTGTTTCACGTTTGGTCACTCTTCGTCCAACTCCGTTAACTTTTGCTTACGTGGCAGTCAACTCTAAAAGTTGACCGTTAAATGTGTGACGTGGCAATTAAAAAATAATTAAATAAATAAAATTTATTTTTAAAAATTCCACCTCATTTCTAACTATTAAAAATAATAACAATAAAATTATTAATTAAAAGTATAATAGCTCAATACATCTGGCACTGTACATTCAGAAACCTTTTCACTGTTCATACACACTCAAATTTCCTGTTCAATCCCCTCCTATTGGTTGTTGGGCTAGGGTGGGACCTCTGTGTCGCCTTGGATCTTGGTGGGTGCTCTTCAGCGATCAGGTGGAGCTCTGGTTTGATTTCCAATGGCGGGTCTGGTTTGGGTTGTGTTTGGTTGCTCTCTTTTGGTTTCTTTGGCTTGACGCAGACTGGATCTCGATTCCAGTCGCGTTGGTCACAGGGAAGCTTTCCTTTATCCGTGATTTCTGAGTGATTTGATGATGGGTCATGGACTTTACTCTGAGGGGCTGTGGAGGTGGCTTCCATTTTTGATTGATGGTGGCGATGATTGACGTGGGCGGCAGTGAGATTGCTTTTTAAAGTTTTCCCCTTTCAGGTTATGAGTGGTTTTAGGTAGTTTTAGGCAGAGTCTCCACTCTCCAGTGCCTCTTCGAAATCCAAAAGTTATTCAGAGGGTTCTTGCTTGGTTGACATGCCACCACGTCACTAACTATTCGGCTCATTCTCCCATATCATCTCCACTGACACGCCATATAAGTGGAGAAGCGAATGAGTCCTTGCATATCTGCTCCTCTCCACTTCCTCTCTCCTCTCATCTCTGCTATGGCGAAAAGCACCCCACAACCTTCGGCACTCATTTTTCTTCTGCGCTGGATTAAGAAGCAATCCAGAGATGGACGTGATGAGTCCGGAGAGGAATCAGAGAGCTCTCGCTCGATCGGCTCTTTTTAAATCTTCAGGTGATTTTTCTTCTCTACTGATAATTTTTTTTTCCACCCCATTCTTAAATGGGTTCTTCCTCTCTCAAAAGGTTTCTTTGATTTCTTTCTCAGATCCGGCAATTAAGGCCGAGAGAATCTGGTTGCAAAAACACAGATATCACGCGGTGACCCATGGGGCGGCGCCATGCGTGGGGTTAGCAGTTTTCTCTACTACTTCCTGGGTTTTTTCTAGGGTTCTGTCTATTTCCCTATAGTTGACTTTATTGTATATCTTTTCAGAAAGGTGCAGGTAATCGTGTGTGATGTGGTGCCCAAAGCGTTTTTGGAGTTTTCTACTCTGCACAAGCACCTGTAGTTTAATCCTTTGATTTCTATTCTTTCATCCAGATTGGAAGCACAAAGGAATTCCAAACTGCATAATTATGTCATTGTTTTCTCTATTTTCTTTGCTTATTAAGTCTCTTTTGTCACCCTGCTTGGCTATCTCTTCCATGCAGGTCTCTTTTTCTTTTTCATTGGTCCTTTGGAGGGTCGTTGAAAGAATTGAAATTGTTGCCGGATGAGCCTACGCCGCCGTCGCCATGGAGAGGTCATTCTCCATTCCTCATCACTGGTTTTGCTATCCCCTCATGGTTGGCTTTGCACTCTCTCCACTTCAATGCGCATTTGACACATCCCCCTTTGATTTTATCACTTTTTCTTTCGTCCAGATCAGATCCAAATTGTAATGTGATGATTATGAATCGCTGAGTCAAACAAGTGACACTTAATCCAAGCAGTTAATTAAGTTTTGCTAGCTCTTCTTTACTGTTAGTTTTCCTATAGTTTGTTATCTACTTATCTGCACTATTGGGTATCTTTGATTTATGGTAGGGCGCTACATTTATACCTTTTTATATCTTATTGATGGTTTTGTTTTCTTTTCAGAGGAGGAAACTTCATATGTAACCTGTTGGGCGCCCACTACTCTGCAAGTGTTTTTGTTCTTCATTTATGACTTTGTGCTCCATATATCACTTTGTTGTTTACTTTCGTGTTATCCTTACGCCTTTATTCTTTGTGATTTTTATCTAATTCAGGCATCCTGGGATGTAGCTTGGTGGTGCAGAGGGAGGATAGTTTTATAGGGGGATCTTCATCAGAATCGTGAGTTGGAGCAGAAGCCTCGAGTATTGAATCTCATGAACCTTAGCTTTGCTCATCCTGTTAATTTACAGGGCGTTCTATAATTATGATTAGAATTCAGGTTTTATTGATTTTAGGTTCTATGCTTATTAAGTAGATGAGGATTCTCAAGGTGGAACTGTTGTTCTATTGTGTATCTTTTGATGTTTGATTTGCTGTATTTAACTATTGTTTTGTCAATTTTCTTGGTTTGTAGTTAGTCAATTAATTGAAATAGTGCACATAAAACACAGGATGTAACCTTTTTATTTTGAGATTGTATCACAAATCCCAGCGCGGAGCGCGGGAGTGAATACTAGTTATTAATAATATTAAGAACGAACGGCGAGGATCTCTCTTGTTCTCCGCCGCCGTATTCTTCGCCACAAACGTCGGTCCTCGTCGAGGTTCGATCAACAGATAACCATGGCAGCGGATGAAGTTCGAAGGGCCGTACAAGTTGGCGCAGATTTTGAACGGAATATATCAACAAAATCGTGGATAAGCTGGCCGTGAAATTGGATGGCGGTGAAGATGTAAATGATGAAGGGAGCAGTATAGAATAGACTATAAAGGAAGGGAAGATGATAAGATGTGCGGGTGTGGGCACATCACAACACACGTGGCTATAATATAATAAAAAAAATTAAACTTGTTTTTACAATTTTAAGCATTAATTTAATTTTAAGAATTTATAATTTTTTTAATAGATAAAAATGAGGTGGAAATTTTAAAAAACTAAATTTTATTTATTTAATTATTTTTTAATTGCCACATCACCCATTTAACGGTCAACTTTTAGAGTTGACTGTCACGTAAGCAAAAGTTAACGGAGTTGGACGGAGAATGACCAAATGTGAACGGTTTAAGTAAACTGAAGTACCACTAATGGATTTAAATATTTCGAGTGACCAAACTTGAACGATTTTTGTAATATCAGTGACCAACCATGTAATTAACCCGAATAAAATTTAAACGCATTTGAAAGCAATGAAATGAAACGATTCAATTCATAATGAAAAGCAATGAGTAGCTCAAACAAATCCTTCCACATGACTTCAAATGATAATCTAAACAATATCAAACATGACATTTTAATTTTTTAACTTAGGATGAAGATAATTTTGGATTCTCCGTGAATAATATCAAAGGAAGTATGAAACATGTCAAAGGGCAATGGATTCAAATGACTTCAACTTCCTAACATATGTGTCGAGATTGACATTACTTAAACTTAATTAAGCTAAAATTTATAATTGAACTCTTCCCCTTCCAAATGTCCCAAATTTCCTGCCTCTTTTCCTTTTTGTAGATCACTAACAAAAACGGGGAGCCTGGGTGGGTTTTGTTCAGAATTATATACGGGGATATGCAAATGGAGTAGTTGGTGAGCAATCCAAGTTAATAAAATTTCGTAGAAATTGCAATACAAAAAATAGAATACTTTCTATGAAGAAGCTAATTTTAATGTTCTACAATATAGCTCAAGTTTCACAGCAAGTTAAGAGGATAATGAATTCTTTCAATCATAAGAGAGAAAATGCCTCGAAAATAGGATATTAGCACAATATGCTTTGGCATACCCGAACTCTTGCAAGGCACCATACTGCACAAAGAGCAAATTATAAATCAGAATCATTTATACGCATTTTTATCAAAGAAACATAGTTCAGTACCAACCAAACCCTCCCATAGATTAACCGGAACAAAAAACATTGAGCTTCACAAGAAACAAGGCTAACAATGCTGCAGATACCAAGAAATTGCCTCTCAAAATAGGCAATTAATGAACTGGTATAACAAAGGGAACACAAAGAGTTGACGCAATTGCTATGCAAGAGAAGACTTCACTACTGATCAGTATACCTCTACTGTGTACTGTCACCAACGAGGCTCAAGAGTCGAGAGAGGCTGCTCGAGGTCGATGGAGGCATTTCGTAGCAAGGACGCGACGAGGGCGTCGCGAGCATAGGTGGGGGAGGATGTCACATGTGGCCGATGACATGGTGCCAACAAGGTGACAACAAGGCGGCTGCACATGTGGCATGTATGGACGACTAGTAGCATAGAGATGCTCCTAGGATTCTCCACCTAAATGAGAGCTTAATGGTGCACTTATGGGCTACATTATGGGTAGCATTATTAGGGTGCATTATGGGGGGACTTTATGGGGTGTATTGATGTAGTAGAGGGACATTATGAGGGGCATTGATGCCTTGTATGAGGAGAGGCCTATATAAGGAGCCATCTCCCTCACTTGTAACTCATCCATCATTTTTGTGAGCAATACAACTATAGAGTTTCTCCCATCTTCTTGTGTCTTGTTCTTGTGAGTTGAGTGAGTTTGAGAGCTTGTGAGAAGGCTGCCTAGCTTCTCTAACGGAATTGAGAGTTAGGGCCGCACGACCAAGAGTAAGGCCGTGACAGTTGGTATCAGAGCCTGGTTCTGAAAGAAGAACCGGTGTCCTCACTCCCCAAGAAGGAAGATAAGAAAGAGCGAGAAACTCACCAAAGATGGCTGGATCCGAAGTCCATGACGATGCGGAGAAGCCACGGGGAAGAGATCCCACTCCGGGCGGAAGGCCAAAAGGTACGTCGAGCACTCGTGATCCTCTCAAGTCTCTAGAGAGGCGAGTCTCGAGGATGGAGGTGAAGCTTTCCGAAGATGTCACCGTCATGGAGGATTTGGGAGCTAACTTCACCCAAATCCAAGGCGATGTTCAAAGTGTGGCGGCTAGAGTGACGAGTTTGGAGGTTGGCAATGAAGGGCTTCGAGATGAGCTCATGGCCCTCATCAAAAACACCATCTCCACCGCCATGAACGATGCCATTGAGCTAGTGAAGGAGGCGGCTGCTGCGGAGGTGACCGTCTTGAAGGAGGAGGTTGCGGAGCTCAAAAGCGAAGTGACGCTTGTGAAGAGGGCCATGGCTAACGGACCTGCCATCGCACAACCTGCCTCAACCATGGAGATTCCAAGACCAAAGAGCTTTCAAGGGTCGAGGAATGCAAGGGAGTTAGAGAACTTCCTATGGAGCTTGGAGCAATACTTTGAAGCTTCGGGTATTCGAGATGAGAATACCAAGGTAAAAACTGCACCTCTTTACTTGAGTGATGTTGCCATGCTGTGGTGGAGAAGGACCCAAGGCGATATCAATAAAGGGACGTGCGTGATGGAGTCATGGGATGACTTCAAGAGGGAGATCAAGAGGCAATTCTACCCAGAGAATGTTGAGTTTGAAGCCCGGTCGAGACTAAGGAGGCTTGCTCACGAAGGAGAGATTCGAGGGTATGTGAAGGAGTTTTCTGAATTGTTGCTCGAGATCCCCGACTACACCGACAAGGAGGCCATGTTCACCTTCCTTGACGGCCTCCAACCATGGGCGAAGTTGGAGCTACAACGGCGAGGCGTGCAAAGTCTTGCCGAGGCAATGGCGATTGCCGAGTCCCTAGTCGAGTACCACGAGCCGGAGGAACGTGTGGAGTTCGGAGGCAATGGAGGTGGACGCGACTATGACAGAGACACACGAAGGCGTGGTAGACTGGACCAAGGAGGTAGTCATAAGGTTGAGAAACCACTTACTTGCTTCCTTTGTGATGGTCCGCATCGTGTGAGAGATTGCCCAAGAAAGCACAAGTTGTCGGCAATGAAGGCCGTACTAGCAGAGTGCTCGAGCTCGGAAGAGGAAGAGGAGGCGACTCCAAGAGTGGAGCCCCATGTCGCGAAGATTGGTTGCATGAAGAGATTGAGCGTCATCAAGCGGACGGAAGAGCCTCCCCATCCTGAGCAACACGGTCAATGCTTCGTAGAGGCAGAGCTCAACCAAAGGAAGACAAAAGCCTTGGTTGATACCGGGGCAAGCTGCAACCTTCTCGACGTAGATGAAGCGCGGAGGCTGGGCATCACGTACGAGAAGAAGCGAAGAGGATGGATGAAGGCTACCAACTCAAGGGCCACAAGAACTCATGGAGTAGCGCGCCAGGTACCACTCAAGCTAGGAGGATGGACCG